AAAATAAATGAAATATTTTATCTAATGTTACACATCAAAATATTTTTTCCATTTTTGATTTATCTTTTCTGGGATTATTAAGAGTTACACCAATATTCTACAGATGTGATAAATTGGGCTATATCATTTAATGAATTTTTGTGAAGACGAGACACTTCTGTCTTTCTCTACTGTAAAACTTACATTATAAATTTATTTATATATGGTATAAATAACTTACATGAGTTTAACTAGGGAGGATATAATATAAATTAAAATATAATAATTTAAATATTTTTGTAATCTGGTCATCAACACTTCATTTTGTCCCAGGTATATATTCATTTTATATGAAATTAAATATTTTCATATTATATATATGTTAACCATTATAGAATTTTATATAAAAATCCATTCATTAGAATCTTTGGTAATGTATATTTCCATACACAACAATATACACTTCATTTTATCATGTCAGTGAATTACTTTTATTCACATTTGTTAACTACAAAGATAGTTCTATTACAAGGTGGTGTGCTAAGAAACCATATCAGTCTCTATACAGTATAAATATAATCCCAGAGTTGTAAAATAATGAAAAAATAAACAAACACAGAAGAGTTTAGAGTGAGTTATGGATGCATATATCCACATGTCATAACATGTATGTAGATCAGAACTTAGCATATTATACTCTAAGTAGAAATATAGCATAGTTAGAACTATGGAATTATCTGTTTGCTTCATTCCAAGAATGGACCTTAACGAAAATAATATAGTATTATATATACCAACTATGAGGGAAGTCAGCCACAAGACAGGGAAACAACAAAAATACTTCACCATAGATATCTGATGCAAGGATAAGAAAATATAGATGGTGAGTTTTAAAAAAGCATTTTTTTGGGTCAGGGATTTAGCTCAGTGGTTTTGCCGCCTGCTGCTCAAGCACAAGGACCTGAGTTCGATCTCTGGTACCAAAAAAAAAAAAGCATTTTTCTCTGACTTAGAGAGATAAGGAACAATAGGCATACATTAGAGGAAAATATGCAGTATGAAACCCAAAGCAAACCAGTTAGGAAAACTGAACCAAACAAAATTCTGGAAATTACTGTGGCAGAGCACAAAGAAATGTTTTCCTTGGTGTATGTGCTTTAAACACGTAGGCACAGAAGGAGATGAAGTTCTAAGCTGCTGAGTTAATTGGCTCTCTCAGCTCATACGTGGACGTGAGGGGACTAATTTGGTAAAAAAGCAACCTTGTGCAATCAGGGTTCTGGTCCAGAAGTTATTCCGTGCTGCGTCTTCAAGGGTTTTACCAATTAAAAGTCATCATATTGCAGAAACACGTCATGTTCACGTTTATAGCAGCACAAATTGACAAGAGCAAAATTATGGGAGCGGACTCTGCCTCCAAGTCGTGACTGCATAAAGAAAATGTGCTGCACATACACGCTAAAGCATTCCTTGGTCATAAAGAAGGATAAATCTGAATCACTGGTAGGGAAGGGGACGGGGTCCTGAGATCATAATGCTAAGTAAAACAAGTCAGTTGCCTAGAGTTACACATCACACGGTTTCCCTATGGTGGGAGAACCAAAACGCGAATAACTTAGCAAAATGGAAGACTTGTGTTACGAAATGGACGAAGACTCTAAACAGAACCTGGTGAGATAGGGAGAAGGGCTGTTGGGGAAGAGAAGGGGCATGAGCATGATCAGATCTGATGTTTATGTGTCTCAACCCCAAGCGGAACACAACCATTAAAAATTGTGACTCACAAGCCTATGCCAAAGAATTTAAAAAAAGAAGAAAAAGAAGGACCCTAAGGTCCCATTATGGAACAAGGCATTTGAAGAGATCATTATGACTGATTCATTCAAATCATCACACTACACTGAGCCTCTTGATACTGCAGTCACATTTTACTTTTCCATAACCCATGAAATGCGCAGAGATTAAAATCAAAATATAGCATTTGGGTAAAGAGTAGGACAGAGACACATATGGACCCTAGGAAATTATTGTAAATCATTGGAAATACTGCAGAAGTCATTTGTCTCCTCTTCTACATTTATTACTCTGCCTAACTTCCAAGTAGCCTACAACTCTGCAAACTTGTCTCATAGGTTTAGACTCAATCTGTTCTACGTAGCTATAATATTTTTTCAGTTATGATAGTTAATAATAAGACAATATTTTATCATATGTGACTCATGTTTTATGGCATTTGGAAATGTGACAAGTAAAAACAGGGTCAATGTTTAAATATATTGTGAGCCCATCTGTGCTTTCTATACATTCTTAAGAAAACCATAGCAAGTTGACATTCCAGGTTCATACACAGAAATCATACTGTATGACAATTTTAAGAAAAGACAATGCTGTTTTTTCTGTGCTTTTCGTAGGGCACATTTTACATCTTTATTTCTCAAGCTACACATCAAGAGATTCAACATGGGGATGACCAGTGTGTAAAATATGGAAGCCACTTTGTCAGTGTCAAAGGAGGGACTGGACTTGAGCTGCATGTACATAAATATCAGCGTCCCATAGAACATGGTGACAATGATCAGGTGGGACCACAGGTAGAGAAGGACTTGCGCTTGCCCTCTGCAGAGTTCATCCTAAGAATGGCTAAAAAGATGAGCAGGTAGGACACGAGAGCCACCAGGAGAGAGGAAATCAAGTTAAAAGCTCCTAAGATTAGCACCATCACTTCAGCTTCATGTGTGTTTGAGCAAACTAAAGATAACAAGGGAAGACTATCACAGTAGAAATGACTGATGACATTGTATCCACAGAAGGACAAAGTGAAAATCTTTGTAGTGATCAAAAGAGATACAAATGTGCAGTAGAGACAGGAAATCGCCACTAGTACCCAACACACCCTTGGTGACATGATGACAGTGTAGAGGAGAGGGTGAGAGATGGCTACATACCGGTCATAGGACATGGCACACAGAACTAAAAGCCCACAAGCAACAAACAAAAGAAAGCCAGCAGTATTCCACTATATATAAATACCACATTATCTTTATCCTGTGTTCTATTGATGGATCCATAGGCTGTTTCCAAATTTTGGTATCATGAATTGTGCTGCTACAAACAGCGGTGAGCATGTATCACAGTAATGTGATGTCTAACCCTTTTGGCGAGATACCTACTGGAAAAACAGAGAGTGGAGATGAATTTGTACTTCTCGCAGTTTGAGGGATGCCCACAGTGGTTGCCTAGTGGTTGTACTAGGTTACTCTCCAGTGAGCAGTGCAGGAGGGTATCCCTTCCTTTCCAGCCTCCCCTGCCTTTAGAACTCTGATTTCTCAGTGATCTACATCCTTAGAGGAGTCAGTGATATCACTGCTCCCTTCATTTGCATCTCCACAATGCCCAGCAATGCGGCCCATTGTCTCATGTACTTATAGACTGTTTGTACTGCTCCTGCTGAGAAGTGTCTATTCATTTCAGTTGCCCATTTTTTGATCTGGTCTTTTATTTTGAGAGAGTCTAAAATTTTTGAGTTCTGTATATGGTCTCAGTCCTCAGTCAGAGATGAAGCTAGCAAGATTTTTTCCAAATCTATGCGTTCTTTTATTTGATTTTGAGGTTACTTCTTTCTCTGTACAAATCTTTTAAATTTGATTAAACTCCATCTCTTTATTCTTATTGCTGTTTGTTGTGCAATTGTGATTCTCTTTAGAAATTACTTACCTGTGCCTATTGCTGAGAAAAATGCATGTTCTGTATTGTTAAGGTAGAATTATTAAGTCCTTTTTCAAATACGTAGTTCAGTCCTGATATTTTTGGTAACTTTTTGTCTAGTTAATCTGTCTACTTGTAAAATTGGGGTATGGATGTCACCCACTATGATTGTATTCATGTTTATTTGATATTTTATGTCCAGTAGTATTAATTTTATGAAGTTAGGCACACCAATATTCAGTGCATATATATTTTATATTATTTTCTCTTCAAGCTAAATAGTTTCTTTAATGAAATATAGTAACCATATTTGCCTGTTCTGATAAGTTTTTGCTTGAAGCTTACTTTGTCGGAAAATAGCTGCTCTTGCCTGCTTTCAGGTCTCTGGGACATGGAATATTTTTTCCATCCTTTTATTTTAATCTATTAATTCTTTAAATTGGATGAAACTCGTCAACGTAACAGACAATTTTTTTGGTTTCTGCTTTTTTGGCCAAGACTTAAACCTGTGTTTTTAATGGAGGAATTGAAGCCATTTTCACTGTGAGTTATAACTGAAAAATATTGCTTATTTCTCTCTTTGCATTCTTTTCTGTTGCTGACTAAAATCAAATATTGTGTTTACACCATAAAAGGAAAGTATACACACTAAAAGTCAGTTGTACTCATTGCAAATATGACAAAACACACGAATCTCCACTTCTATATTTATTGCTCTTTCTTGCTTCAAAACTATCTCCAACTCTGCAGCCTTCTTTTATGGCATTTAGAATGTGTAAGTATTCTATATTTCTATAACATTTTCAAAATTATTATATGCATTGTAATGTAAAACCAATTCAAATATTTAACTCATTTTCTTTTGGTTTGTAGAATGTGAGAAGCACCAACATGGTCAATGTTCAAATGTGTGGGAAGCACATTTGTAGTTGTTATACACTCAGGAGAAAAACAGAGGAGGGTGGCATTTGTCCTTCGTATGTAGAAATCATACTGTTTGAGAATTTTAAGAAAAGATATTGCATAGTTTTCCCTGTGATCTTTGCAGGGCAAATTTTACATCTTTGTTCCTCAAGCTATAGATCAAGGGATTCAACATGGGGATGACCAGAGTGTAAAATATAGAAGCCACTTTGTCAGTGTCAAAGGAGTGACTGGACTTGGGCTGCACGTACATAAATATCAGTGTCCCATAGAACACGGTGACCACAGTCAGGTGGGACCCACATGTGGAGAAGGCCTTGCGCCTGCTCTCTGCAGACTTCATCCTGAGAATGGCTCTGAGGATGAGCAGGTAGGACACGAGTATAATGAAAAGAGAGAAAATCAAATTCACAGCTGATAAGAATAAAATTATCATCTCAGTTTCATGTGTATCTGAACAGGCCAAAGATAACAATGGGAGATTGTCACAGTAGAAATGACTGATGACATTGTATTTACAGAAGGACAAACTGAAAACCTCGGTGGTGACCAGAAGAGACACAAATGTACCATAGAGATAGGAAATTGCCATGAGTGTCCAGCATACTTTTTGTGACATGATGACAGTGTAGAGGAGAGGGTTACAGATGGCCACATAGCGGTCATAGGACATGGCGGACAAAATTAACAGTTCACAAGCAATGAACAAAAGAAAGAAAGCTAACTGCAGAGCACAAAAATGATAGGAGATTGTATTTTGATTCACCACAAAATTTACCAACATTTTGGGTCCCACAACTGTAGAATAGCCAAGGTCAGTGAGAGCCAGGTGTCTGAGGAAAAAGTACATGGGAGTTTGCAGCCTGGGGTCCACCTGGGTGAGGATGATCATGCCCAGGTTGCCCAGCAGTGAGGTCAGGTAGACGAAGAGGAACAGGAGGAACAGTGGAGCCTGCAGCTCAGGGCGATCTGTGATGCCCAGCAGAATGAACTCGGTCACCACTGTGAAGTTGGGCCCCTCCATCCAGGGTGATCAGAAGACCTGTTCTAGTTAGAGACATCAGCATTAAACAATTGAGTTTCATTCTTATCACCTGAACAGATTTATTCAGTGGAGGCTGTGCAAATATAATTTATTCACATTTTCCAATTTACAACATTTAAAAATAAGTCTCCCTTCCATCAGAGAGAACATTGTTCAGATTCAGGGATACTTTGTTTGTTTTGATAAGTGAACTGCTACTGGCATCTAATGATTAGAGGATATTTAAACTGTTAAAAGTCAAATTGTAATTAGTTTCCAGCTTAAAACCATCTCCACATCTATAAGCGCTTTATAAAATTGGGGCAATATAATAGGTAGACAGATTTGACACATAGATAGATGATAATGTGTATAGACATAACTGTGCATAAATATAGATGCCATAAAAATGAAAAAATAGATAACTGACTAAGGACTGTACTGATCGTTAAATTTCAAAATTGTCATTTGTATAATAACAATCACCTAATGACACTGAATAGGTGCATTGTATAAAGTGGGATTCACCCTATATATAAAACAAGACATTGTATGGAGATTCCTCAAAAAGCTCAAACTAAATATTCCTTTTGACCTAGCTCTTCCCTTCTAGGTATCACCTTGAAAGAGTTAAAGACATCACATCAGAGTGATCTGCATAACCATGTTTACAGCAGGGAAATTCATAAAAGCTAACTCCTGTACACAACCTATATGTTAGTCCATAGAATAGATAAAGAAAATATGGTATTTTATATATTACTACCCTACTGTAGTGAAAGATAAACTTGAGTCTTCCGTGGGAAAAATGATACAACTTGAGACCATAATGTGACATGAAATATAGCATATTCACAAGCTTAACTATCACATGATTTCTCTTACATGGGAAATCAACTTATAAATAAAGGGAGATAGTAGGAAGAAAAATATGCTGCTCAAATAGGAAGGGGATCAAGGGATACAGGGAATGGGGAGGAAACAGTAGAAAAGTGGATGAGAAAAGGAATTAAAATGTGCTATATACAAGTACCAACTCTATACAAGCAATGGAAATATTGTGTATTGTAAACATGTACTAATAAAACTAAAATGAATAAATAAAATAAGACATTCTAATGGTAAATTTCAAAATAGCACATAAAATTTCACAGTGTGCTACTCTTCTGTCTTTCAAAACTATTTTAATATATGTCAATATAAATTAACTTTATATATATTTACTTATGTATTAATACCCCCTGGAGATATTTTGATCATAACTGAAATAAACTTACTTGGATGTAACCAAGCAGATACATGCT